TTAATGTACCAAACTCGTCACTTTTTCCTTAGGACTTCTGGGGTATGGATCTTTCCTGGAAGATTCTCTGTTCCGAAACCAAGTGACTTTCTCACCTGCTATTTGAACACTGTTATGTGCCCCTCCATCTACTTGAAATTTCTGTGCATTGTGTGGTAGAGGTATCCATCTTTCCCAATGTCTTTAGCTCCTTCACCGGCTGTTTTCCACAAATGACTTTTACAAATGATGTATGTCTTTGTAAGTTCTTACTGCACTGTCTTCTAGTATGAAATAGAAGCTCCCTTGTCCTCACTGCTTTGTAAACTGCTTTTACACGTGAAGTCCTGAGCCAGTTGCAACTGCATTGACCTAATGGCGCTGCTGTCTGTCCTTCCTACAGAACCTCTTGTGCAGCCAGCCACTGCCTCTGAATCGAAGCATCCCTTCTTACAAAGAGGAGGACATTAAGACTCAGGAAGTGTAGGGAGCTCAGAATCTTACACGATTCACAAAGCCTCTCCCCAGGGTTGTGTGACAAGCAGTTCATGGGAAGGAAGGTGATGTGCTGTACCGAGCTGCTGAGACATTGTGCAGGAAACTCCAGGGCTATGTATTGCCTTTATTATGTTTAGAGATGTTCCTTGTATCCCTGTTCTCTCCAAGACCTTTATCATGAAGGGATGTTGTATTTTGATTTTGTGGAAGGCTTTTTCAGCATCTAAGATGATTATATGGTTTGAGGGTTTTTTTTTTTCCAGTTTGTTTATATGGTAGATTACATTGATAGATTTTTGTACGTTAAATGATCCCTGCATCTCTAGGACTAAGCCTACTTGGTCATGGTGGATTTTTCTGATGTATTCTTGGATTCGATTAGCCATTATTTTATTGGGTATTTTTGCATCAAAGTTCATGAGTGTGACTGGTCTGTAATTCTTTCTTAGTAATGTCTTCATGTGGTTTGGGTATCAGGGTAATTGCAGCCTTGTAAAAAAGAGTTTGGCAACATTCTGCTTCTACCGTGTGGAACAATTTGAAGAGTTTTGGTATTAGTTCTTCTTTGAAAATCTTGTAGAACTCTGAGACTCCATCTCACACCTGTAAGAATGCCAAGATCAAAAATACTGATGACAACTTATGTTGGAGGGGATGTAGGATGAAGGGAAGACTCCTCCATTGCTGGTGGGAGTGCAAACTGGCACAGCCCCTTTGGATATCAGTATGCAATTTCTCAGAAAATTAGGAAACAACCGTCCTCAAGACCCAGCAATCCCATTTTTGGGTATATACCCAAAGAATGCTCAATCTTACCACAAGGACATGTGCTCACCTATGTTCATAGCAGCATTGTTTGTCATAGCCAGAACCTGGAAACAACCTAAACGCCCCTCAAATAAAGAATGGATAAGGAAAATGTGGTAATTTACACAGAAAAAAAAAAAACCATAATGACATCTTGAAATCTGTCGGTAAATAGATGGATCTAGAAAACATCATATTGAGTGAGGTAACCCAGACCCAGAAAGACAAATATCATGCCCAGACCCAGAAAGACAAATATCATATGTACTCACTCATAAGTGGCTTTTAGACCTAAAGCAAAGAAAAACCGGCCTACAATTCACAACCCCAGAGAAACCAGACAACAAAGAGGTCCCCAAGAGAGACATGCACGAATCTAACCCACATGGGAAGTAGAAAAAGACACATCTCCTGAATGAATTGGGATCATGGGAGAAGATAGAAAGGGAGAGGTGGTGTAGGAGGTCCTTCTGTTTATGTGTTGCTTTCATTAGTTAATCAATAAACTGCTTGGCCCGATAGGGCAGAATTTAGGCAGAGAAGACAGAACTGAATTCTAGGAGGAAGAAAGCAGAGTCAGAGAGCCACCATGGAGAAGCCAGGTCAGACATGCTAAATCTTTCCCAGTAAGCCATGACCTCATGAACACAGATTAATAGAAAAGGGTTAAATCAAGATGTGAGAGCTAGCCAATAGGAGGCTAGAGATAATGGGCCAGGCAGTGTGTAAATGAATACAGTTTCTGTGTGATTATTTCGGGTGTAAGCTAGCTGGGTGACCAGGACAACAAGCAGCCCATTCCTCCTCTTACAGAGTGGGAAGGGAAGGGACTGGAGAAAAATGTATAGTTCAATAAAAACAAAAAATATGTAGCTTCTTTCATGACTCATCCTTCCTTCCAGATCATATCTGTAGCACAGAGTTTACATTTCTGTTGTAATGGAACTTTAAATTTTCCTCAAACTACCTTTTTGTTTTTTGAGACAAGGTTTCTCTGTGTAGCTCTTGCTGTCCTGGCACTTGCTCAGTAGACCAAGCTGACCTTCAACTCACAGAGATCTGCCTTCATCTGCCTCCCAAGTTTTAGGATTAAAGGCATAAGCCATCACTGCTGGTTCAAACTATTAATCTATCAGTAATAGTTTTTCAACTGTTATTTGGGGATGTTGCCTCCATAATCATCCTGCCTGAAAAGTCTACAGTGTCCTTCCCTAACATTTCTCAGGTTACGTTAATCTCAGCAGCGTAGTCATTATGGTTCAGAAAATCCATACTTGTCCCCAACTAGTTCCTAGGATCTCATCCACACTTTCTTTAGAGTGTTGGATTTATAGGAGGCTAACCCACACAGCAACTGTTCACATAGCTGCTGGGAACCAACTCTGGGCCCCATTCTTAGCCAATAGTTTACACACTGAGCCATTTTCCCAGTCCTAGAAAATTTAGTTTCAAAGGCTTAATTTTGGCTGGGATGTGACTCAGCAGCTATGAGTGCTTACTACACAAGCATAAAAACCCGAGTTCAAATTCCTAGAACATAAACATACAGGTATGGGCACACACAGGCTGTAACTCTAACACTGTGAGGGACAGAGACAGGAGAATCTCTGGGGCTTACTGACTACCACCCTAGCCCCAGCTGCAGTGAGATCCTGTCTCAGGGAAACAAGGCAAAGCATGAGAGCATCCCACACGTATGTGGGAGCTGTGGATGTGTACAGACATGTAATACTCACACACGTCTACAGGTGCTCATACATTCATCAACTTAGTGTTTTATGTTAGTTGACCATTTAATGCCTCAAACTTTGAGAAGTTAAACTTCATTAATTGTCACCTGCTATGAAACTTAGGCTACTGTGAGACTCCTAGCAGTGGGAGCAGGGCTGTCCCTGACACTTTGGCTGTCTTTTAGGACTCTGTTCCTCATACCAGGCTGCCATGCCCAGCCTTGATACAATGGGAGGAGATTAGCCCCACAACTTGACATGCTTTATTGATACCCATGGGAGGTCTGCCCCTTTCTGAATAGAAACAGAGGAGTGGATTTGGGAAGGGGGTGGGGGCAGGAGTGGGAAGAGAGGAGGGAGGGGAAACTACAGCCAGGATGTAAAATAAGTGAATAAATTTAACCAATCAAAAAGTTTCCCAAGCCCAAAAAACAACCTGCATTAATGACAATGACTTAAGAGTGCAGCTCCTGATCACCAGAAGCATGGCTTCTCAGCTGCACAGACTGCTGCCTCTGAAGACAGCACCTGAAGCAGGCCAGTGTCCTCGGCTCTTGATGAACATGTGGCTACAGCTCCTTTTCTTTTCAAAGGAAGGAACTTGAAAGAGTAAAGGAGAAATAATTCATTATTTTTTTAAAAACAGAAAGCTTGACTCTTGGTTCTCCGGGTAAAACAGACACGACAAAAGAGCACACATTATTTGTATTAAATTGTATTTTCAGGAAGATTCCAAGGTTTGACATAGGCACAGAGAAAAGAACGAACTAAAGCTAGTATAAACAAGATCAGTTACAGACTGACCTCTGAAATGTGTTAGAAAACATACAGTAGTCACACTTTTTAAAAATATGATTGAGGAAAAATGTTTCAAGTCTTCTCAATCACTTAAAATACTTGTGAGCTAAACTCATACATTAAGGCAGATATTGATTTTTAAATACTCATTTAACTGATGAAATGTTTAATCTGCAATCAAAGGAGAAAATTTGTTTAAAAAAAAGAAAACATTTTATTGCTACAAAGGTAACTAACTGTACACAAAAGCTGTTAAGCCATCTTAATGCTGTTATTCAATGTAAAAACAAAAACAAAAACAAAAAAAACCCACAATCAGGACAAAATACTTGCCCAATCCATCTCTTCTAGAGTAAGAATTCAAAAAATGAATGCACACTTAAAGGTTCACTCCCAAGAGCAGTATTTAAGTTAAATTGATTACAACAGATAGAGGAACAACAGACATCTGTTATCCTGAACACCAATACGGTAATAAAAATTAAGCTTAAAAATCATATAAACAATTTATCATATCTAAGTTTGGTATCTATAAAAACTAAACTGAAATCATCTTAACTTCATTTTATTAAACAAGTGCCAAACATTTAGAAATTATACAAAACAAATTTTATAGGTGGAATGCATGCAACATGGTATCAATTAATATCATAATCTATTAAATGTCTTTTCTTTTCTACAGTAGGACAGGGTGCAAAGCTCCACTCGTCTAACACACTACACCTGACTGTGCTCACACTGCTCAGCAGGACAGGTGGCAGACTCCTCCTTCCCCTCCTCCTCCTCCTCATTCTCTGCTTCTCCCAGGTTCTCATCGTCCCCTGATTCTGCTGTTCCCTCCCCTCCCTCTAGGTCTCCTTCTCCCTCCACTACTCCAGCTTCCCCTCCTTCCTCTTCTTCTTCCACCTCTTCTGTTTCCCCCACTTCCTCTCCTTCTTCATCCTCCTCCCCCTCCTCCTCCTCTTCCTCGTCCTCTTCTTCAATGGGTTCATCAATCTTCTCTTCATCCTCTTCATCTCCTTCTATCTGCTGATCCTGAGAATGATCTTGAATTTCAAAAGGATTCTCTCCCTAAACAAGAGAAAGTGGCACTTACAGTCAACACATTTTTCTATCAGTGATACTTGCTATGTCATGAAAAATAGTATTTGAAGTTCTTTTTACTTTATGACAAACATATTATATATTTTTAAGTATCTACTTCATCCCAATGTGAGGATATAATTTACTAGCTATTTTATTTTACATACCATAAATTAGAGCACTCAGAAAGTCAAAATTTTTAACTGAATTTCATACATGGAAGCAGAACTGTGTGCTGTAACACAAACAGAGCAGCTGCTGCAGATGATCTGCTTAGACACACCTACTCACTGTGCTTCTCTCTGAGGTCTCCTCAGAACTCAGGAAGAACCAGGTATCTCGATTTGGCCACTAGGTATCATGCCTTATAGTTACACTTCTAAAAACTAGACAAACATTTATTTGACAAACATTCACGGATACAATTTTATCGTTTTTATTATTTTTATCTCCTGGGTGTGTGTACGTGGAAGCCAGACAACCAGCAGCAATAGGATCTCTCCTTTCAGAGTTCAGGCTCGATGGCAAGCGCCTTTATTTGACTGAGCCACCTCATCAGTCCTACAATTTTATTTTAGTAATTATTTATTTGGGTTAGGCCTCCTATAAACCGGTCATACTGGAAGACTATATAATCAGGGAAATGAAGAGGCTGTGAAGCTTACTAAGCAGAATCTACTAGGGCTGGTGCTACCTTGTAAGATGGACCAGACAGTTAGGATGGGAAGACGAAGTGGGTGGGTACATGCCACATACAACTAGAACCTGAGAGGTCTGAATGTTTAATAGGCACCTATAAATTTTCAGCTCAAATGGAGTGCCCAAGTGAAATATTTACACTAATAGATGACTTGTATTAAGTCGACAGTGGAATCAGCGTCCCACCTGGGATAACCTAAAGTGGACTACAGGGCTAAAACCCTGGAGCAGCCTACACAGGAGCAGGAGTAAGAGAAGCAGAACATTATCTGACAAAATCACAGTTTAAAGAAAGAATGATAAATGAGTAGCATTAAACAGTAGAACAGATAAAGGTAAAAAAGGATTGAAAAAGTCATTAGAGTCCATCATTATTAACAATGAATGAAGAAGGCTCCTAAGTATTTAGTTTTGCATGTTTTAAATAAAAGGACCTTAATTTTTGTGTTTGTATATGGAGTACATGTATGTTCAAGTGTATGTGGAAGTCGGAGGACAACTTCTGGTGTCATTCCTCAGGACCCACTGTCTGTGCACCATGATTTTTGAGGCAGGGTCTCTCCATAGCCTGAGGCTTTCCAATTAGGCTAGGCTAGCTCACCAGAAATCCCCAAGGACACTCCTATCTCCACCTCCCCAGCACTAGATATCAAACATGCATCCCCATGTTCAGCTTTCTTAAATGGGTTCTGGGCTCAAACTCAGCAATTGGTTTACCAAATGAGTTAAGTCTTAAGCCCCAGTAAGCTGATTTAAAGCACTGGCTGTGGTAACTGACCACTGATAACTGTAAACTGAGGAGGACAGCAACGGCAGCTGTCCCGGGGCAGGTCTCTATAACCCATTTCCTATCAAGCTGACAGAAGGCACACAGGGAAAGAAGCTGTCAGGGACTGGAGCTCTTTCTTACCAAAAGTAGTAATGTCTAGTCACTCAGAACTTCTGAATCAAAATTGCCAGGTAGAAGCCTAGTAACAAACACTTCAGGAGCTGGGCAGTGGTGGCACTCACCTTTAATCCCAGCATTCGGGAGGCAAAGGCAGGTGGATCTCTGTGAGTTCAAGGCCAGCCTGGTCTACAGAGTGAGTTCCAGTACAGCCAGGACTATACAGAGAAACCCTGTCTTGAAAAAAACAAACCAAAAAAACCAAGCAAACAAAAAATAGAAAGAAAAGAAGAAAAGAAAGACTTCAGGGTATACTAATTTGAAAAGCCTGGGAAATTAATTCAGAAGGTCTTTAAAAGGACTTGGGTAGTTTTCTACTTAACCAGCCCTTTCAAAAACACCCTGATGATACTTTTCCAGGCGAGAACTATTCAGTTATAGCACATCATAGGAAGTGAAGATCCTATGGCAGGGCAAACTATCTTTTAAAGTATGGTAAGAAAAGGTAGTGAAAAATGCGGGAGCTGGAGTCCAGGAAAAATGAGGTCACTATTTAGGAAAATCCTAAGCACTGTCTGGAGAAGACAATACTAAGGGGAAATAAGATTCAAAGGGAGCGGGAGAATGATGAAACCAGACCCCCAATGAATGAGAAAATGGCAACAAAAGTGAGGGATCATATATAAATATACACATAAATCTATGGTAGAAGCTCACGTTGCTCTCTATCTCCCTAAATGCAAAACATGTGCAAAAGGAGCGGCGGGCTGCGTTCCCAGTGAGCCTTCTGTCTATGTGTTACTTTCATTGGTTAATAAAGAAACTGCCTTGGTCTTTTGACAGGGCAGAATTCAGATAGGTGGAGTAGACTGAACAGAATGCTGGGAGAAAGAAAGCAGAGTCAGGCAGACATCATGATTCCCCTTCCCAAGACGGGCGCTGGCTAGACTCATGTCGGTAAGCCACGACTTCGTGATGACATATAGATTATTAGATATGGGTTAGTCAAGATGTGAGAGATAACCAATAAGAGGCTAGAACTAATGGGTCAGGCAGTGTTTAAATTAATACAATTTCCGTGTAATTATTTCGGGTGCAAACTAGCCGAGGAGCCGGGATCCCGGGAATGCAGCTTGCCGCTCCTTTTGCAACAACCATGGAAGTGGGGAGAATCAGGATGAAATCTGGGCAATGTAAAGAGGGGAAGATTTGAAGAAGTAACTATGGGAGGCTCAAGACAACCTTAAAGAACAAAAACCAGACAAAACGGGTTGGGGAAATAGCTCAGTCATAGAAAGTTTGCCACATAAACATAGGGACCTTGGTTTGAGTCTCAGAACCCAAATTTAAAAGGCAGGCCTAGTAACATGAGCTTGTTATCCCAGAGCTGAGAAGGTAGAAACATCAGTCTTGAGAAATATGCAAGCCCTAGACCAATCATAGGCCCTGTCCCAAAAACAAGGTGGATGGCTGCTCCTGAGGTGGCATGTTCAAGGTTGTCCTCTAGCATCCGAAAGCATTTACAATCTCACATACAGCACACGTGAGTAAAACTAACATCGTGATCTTCTCTTCTTCACCTGTCACTGTTCTGATTCCAATAGTTAAGAGAAACAATATGCTACCTATAAGCAAAATAGTAAGTTTAAAGTTCTTCCCAGCATGTGGTACTGTAGTTATTTTAGTATCACAATATGGACTCCATAATATCACAATGGTGGACTCTATCCACCATTTTAGTTATACAACAAAAACACTTCCTAAGAAGCTTTTGTTGCAGGGCTGGAGAGGTGGCTCAGAGGTTAAGAGCACTGGCTGCTCTTCCAGGAGTCCTGAGTTCAGTTCCCAGCACCCACACAGTGGCTCACAGCCACCTATGAGATCTGGTGCCCTCTTCTGGCCAGCAGGCCAAGAAAAAAACCCACTTTTGTCAGAAGTCTTACCTTAACAAAGCGCTCGTACCTCGCTTTCACGATTGGATTATTTAAGATGCTTGTAGCAGTCAGTACACTTTCTCTTTTTATTTGTTCCTTATAAGCCTGGAAAAACGGGACACAGTGAGACATTGGAAAGCCGTAGCCTGGAAAGTTTATAGATGTAATGTGGTATTTCACACTCAAGTCCCTATATTTAAATGACTTTTTGTAAAAAGTTAAGCTATGAATAACTATAGCTACTGTACTTGTAACCTAAATCATTCAAGAATTAAGACCATGAACTTTCATAAGGCAGTAAAAATGTAGCATTCCCAAGTGAATTATCAAAACAAAATAATCCAAAAATAACCAGTCTTCTTCCGAGTTTCTAAGTTTTCACAGTAAGTATTATACAGAGGAGAAAGGGTAATAGTGTGTGTACCAGCAGACTGCACGGCTCAGGGTGCCAGCCTCAGGTGTGTGGGATTCACTTCACTACAAAACAGAAATTTAAGACTCAAGTCTCTTCTATTTGAATTTAATCTTAAATCATTAATTTTAAGTCTTTAAATACATTTTACATAAGAACACATTTCCCACAATATAAGCACTCATGTTTCTTGAAGGAAAGCCAACTAGACAAAGCCCAGCATGAAGAGCAGAAATGTACACTAAGGAACAGGCAGACAGGAAGGTGCTCAGGGATATTCTATTCTGAAGTCATAATTGTTAAGCACTAATGCATTTTCCCAAACCATGAGAAAAATAAACCAGTTGTAATAAATGCTGAATCTTTAAATATATTTCTCCAGCTACCAGAAAAATAGGTCAGTCATAATAAAAACTTCCTTTCCTATTTGTTCTAATGCATACATGTTCACAAAACCATTTTGCAGCAACTTAAAAAAAATAAAAATGGCTAAGCTATGGCTTCCTGAATGCTCACCATCACCACCACCGTCTTATCGGGTATCACACGTTAGTTAACTGAATCCTTAAACAACAGCGCCAGTCTCATCTTACAGACAAGGAAAGTTCCAGAAGGAACTTCTCTAACAGCAGGACTCCAACGCAGAATGCCTTGCTCCAGAGCCGTGACCGCAACAGACACGCAGCGGCTCCCATTTCAGATAACAGCACGGGATGTATGAAACGATGGCCGCAGGATAATGAGATGTAAGCGTACCTGCTTCCCTTTGACATGGTCAGGAGACTTCAGGTGTTGCTGAACAGAGCTATGGAAGGCAGGGATGTAGACGCTACACGCACTACAGTGAACGGTCTCGACTTTCATCATGTGGTCATCCGCAGTGACACCTACAGAACAAACGCGTTAGGAGGACACGCCCGCACACTCTTAGTTTTGACAAGTCAGGATCTTCCTCATTCATCTGTGTTCCTTACACCAGAAGGACTGGCGCATGTAGGCTCATGTCAAGTTCTTCCTCACCTCTCATATCTACATATGTAGTTTTTTTTTGGTCTGATGTAGAAGTGGGAGTTAAAGGGAGCCATGGATGCTGTAACCAAACCCTGGTCCTCTGCAAGAGCGGCTGTTTCTTAACCGTGACACCGACTCTCCGGCCCCACACCACAGTCTCTCACCAGTTATTCATCTATGCTTAGAACTCTTTTAGTCCACAGCCTCAAAAAACATAAAGCTAAATGGATGCTATTTTCAGTAAAATAAGACTTTCCATTATTATAAACGTGAGTGGGCAGGAAAAGCAAAAAAGATGCTGTAAGGAACAAAAACATCTATTCTCAAACTTCAAAATGATTGTGCTAAATGGGCCCTGAGCGGGAAACACAGAGCAGACGGCAGAGCACTCGCCTGCCTCTCACTACGAAGTGCAGTGGTCTGAGTGAGAACGCCCACACAGGTTCCAGGATTTGAACGCCTGGTACCCTTGTCTGAGGAGGTTTAGCTTTGCTAAAGGAAGCATGTCACTGAGGGCAGGTTTTGAGTGCTTAAAGTCTCACCCTATTTTCAGTTTGATGTGAGCTCTCGGCCCCTTGTTCCTGCCACTATGCCTGCCACTTGTTGCTATGCTTTGTGTGTGCCGTGCCTAGTATTTTAGCCTTACACTATACACAACGAAATCATGTGATCACATAACAGAATCCAAGAAAGAAAAAAAATGAAACTAGTCAGAAAAAAAGAATACTACAAAGTATTCAGAGAACATGTAAGAACAGGCTTAAAGGTTTCAGAATATGGAATCAAACAAGAAGGAAAGACTGAACAACAGAAGAATTAATCATAAGAATTTCAGAGAAACAGAAGAGAGCTGGAGAGAAGGCTCAGAGATTAAGAACCAGTAATGCTCTTGCAGGGACCTGAGTCTGGTTCTCAACACCCATGTCAGGGTTTTTTTTTTTTCTGAGTAACTCTAGCTCCAGGGAATCTGAAGGCCTCGTCGGGCCTCTGTGGACACTGCAGTCATGAACACAACACCCCCTGCCCAAATAATTAAAAAAAATAATAAAAATAAAATAGAGTTAAGAAAGACAAAGGGCAAATTAAAAAAGGCTCCATCTAATGCACTGGTTCTCGACCTGTGGGTCTTGATCCCTTTGGAGTTGCCTATCAGATATTCTGCATATCAGATATGTATACTACAATTCACAACAGTAGGAAAATGACAGTCATTAAGTAGCAATAAAATAATTTTATGGTTGAGGGGTCATCATAACGTGAGGAAGGAATTTTCCCATAGACCAGTTCTCAACCTTCCCAACACGGCGACTTTTTAGCACAGGTCTCATGCTGTGGCGACCCCACCCCATAAAATGATTCTATTGCTACTTCCCGACTATAATTTCACTGCTGTTGTGAACTGCAATGTAAACACTTCTGAGACAGAGGCTTACCAGAGGCTGGAGCCCACAGCTGAGAACTGCTACTCTACAGTGAAGAAGAGGTCATAATAGACTTGTAAGCATGGAAACAAGAAGCTAGGAAGTCTGGATAAACCCGTCAGAGCTATAGCAGTACAGCTGTGAACTGCATCAATCTCAAAGGTTTCAGGTTATGATACATAAAATACAGATGTAAATTTACAAAACAACTTGACCAAATACTCACCTTCCATAACATCCTTTTCAATTATTTTGTAAGCTTCTGGGTGATTAAGTGTCTGTTGCTTACGAATAGAAGCTTTTTTAAACTTATTCACCATACATTCCTAGAAAATAAACAAAATGCAAACTGTCTCCAGGAGCACCGACCACATGCTCAGCACCACAGTCATCCTGTGGGGAGCACCAGCACTGGTGGGTGTTTCTGTCTGCAAGACCTAATTTCCTTTCACAAGAAGCCCACAATTACTTCAGAGACTATCATGAAACACTAGCAAACTGCTTGCTTTCAAAATGTCTTCTGGGTACCTAAAGGAGGATTAGAAGCTGCAGTGACCTCAGCTAAGTGGGTAAGTCATAAATGACCGAGAAGAACTGTTACAGGACACTCACAGCAACAAACTTTACCAAAGGACATAATTCTGCTGGCTACAGAGGTCTGACTGAGCTGTACTGTGAACTCCTTACCAGACCAGATTAGCTTTGTGCAGTCAGCAGTCCAGCTCCAGCCTCTTTTTTAGTTAGTTTGTTTTTGAGACAGGGTTTCCCAGGAGCTCTGGAGCCTGTCCTGGAACTTACTCTATAGCCTGGCTGACCTCGAACTCACAGAGATCAGCCTGCTCCACCTCCTAAGGGTTGCTTGGATTAAAAGCATGAGCCACCACTGCCCGGCTTCGAACCTCTTGCAGTATCTTTTTGTTTTGTTTGTTTCTTCAAGTCCCCAAAGTATCTATGCATTCTTGGCATTCCCACCTAAACAGACTATCTGTGCACCTGTGAACATGTTTTATTTTTAATTACAGTTGGCTCATTAACAGTAAAGCTTGGGGTCTTCAAAATAATCTATTAAATTGACAACCACACAAGGAAAACACAAAGACACCAGACAGATGCCCATCGCTCTGGTTCAGAATTCTGACTTTGGTATCTACGACAAGGTCATTTAGCTTCTATGGGCATGACCTTTCAATCATTACTTGGGAAAAAAAAAAAGAATTATGGAAGCTCATCCGAAATGAAGAATTCATGAAAATCATACTCCCAGGTACACAGTGGACTGCGTAGGAATGACAGATAGATCCGAATCATACAATGACTAAAGGATTTTCTGACAGCTTTCTCAGAAATGATCATGAAAAATGAGTCCTCACACTACAAATCCAAATTCTAAAATAGAATTCACATCTAACTAATTTTAACAACTTTCCTTAGATGAGTAATTATTAAATTTTTAGAAACATAAAAAGGTGAAAGAAATTATAAAAAATGAAATTCAGATCAAATAAAATGCTTCTCATTTCAAAAACCCCTACTTACATGTAAAAATTCCATAACTACTTTATCAAATTTGGTTTGTTTCTGAATATGATCCAATGTTTCCTGGTGTGAAGAACTTTCCAGATGCAGTTCAATATCTTTTTCTTCAAAGGTTCGAAATTTACAAAATGAACATGTGAATGCCATTCTACAAAGAAAAGAAATTTTCTTTAAGTATTACCTTATTAATTTAGATCTTCTAAAACTAATTTTACTGGCTGAAACAACTTTCTTTCCATTTTAGAACTCTTAAATTTAAGGCAGAGGAAAAACTAGTATTTCTTTACCTATGGACAGCATAGTCACTGGAGTACTTTGTGTTTTAAACCCTTGGGTATAAAAAGAACCAATAAGGTAATGACCTCAAGCCTTGCCCATTCAAAAGCTAAAGTTAATGTAAAGAAGCAGCAAGTTCCAAAATCTCACAACAAATTTTACACTTTGGCCCATCCTCAAGTTTCTAAACCATCCACAAAGCTAGGTAAACACAAAACAACTATCCAATCCTACAGAGCTCTGGTGATGCACAGTCCCCCAGCAGCCGTCAGGATGACTGACAAGCCTACACTGTACAAATATACATTACTTAGAAGATGAAAATTCACCCAGAATTAATTCCTCTATAACTTTCCTACTTTCTTTTATTAAATATTTTTTCTTTTACTGTTGAGATTATAATATAATTATATCATTTACCCTTACCTTTCCTTCCTCCCATATACCCCTCCTTACTCTTTCAAATTATGGCCTTTTTTCATTAATTTATTATTTATTGTTATATGCATATATACACACATATATGTACTCACATACACAAACACATATATATTCCTAAACATAACCTCAGTCTGTATAATGTTTCTTACATGTATATTTAGAGGACTTATCATTAAGGATCAGATAATCAGCTGGTCTGTCCTTCCCTGAGGAAGAGGGAACATTCCTTCATTGCTGGTGGGAGTGCAAAATGGTACAGCCCCTTTGGATATCATTATGGCGATTACTCAGAAAATTAGGAAACATCCTACCTCAATTCCACTTTTGGGTATATATCCAAAAGATGCTCAATTGCACCACAAGTACATGTGTTCAACTATGTTCATAGCAACATTGTTTGTCATAGCCAGAACTTGGAAACAAACTAAATGCCGCTCGACCAAAGAATGGATAAGGAAAATGTGGTACATTTACACAATGGAGAACTACACAGCAGAAAAAATAACGACATCTTGAAATTTGTGGGAAAATGGATGGAGCTAGAAAACATCATTTTGAGTGAGATAACCCAGACCCAGAAAAACAAACGGTGCATTTCTCGCTAGGTGCTGTAGCAGCACACATACCTTGGCAGTAACTGATAGCTCTCTGATTAGACTAAGAGTTGATCAACTAGAGAGAAATCATGCCTGATCTAGAAACCTAGCCAACTCCCTAGGTGAAGTTATGAATTTTGAAGGAGAACCTTAACCGTAACCACCACTTTACCAGACCAGGACAACCCTGAGCACACTCTAAATATTTGTTCTTATACCCACAGGTAAGCGTAGTCTTTACCCCTCATCAAGGAAACTTCTTGCAACAGACAGAGACCATTATAAAAAACCAATCAAAATGGAGAGTTGTGGAGCCCAGTCCCCAAAACTCCCACACCTAAAACTTGGGGAACACTGTAGACGAGGGAAAAGACTGTAAGAGCCACAGGTTCAGGGAATTTGTTGTCAAACTGTTGTTTCCTAGTAATGTCAGAAGCTACATCCAGAAAACCTCCCTAACCATGAGCTGAATAAGGGCATGCCAAAGCGGACAGGCTCAACCTGCAGAGTACACACAGCTGAGATGCTCAGAGTGGGTTAGCCCTTTAAAACACACATACAAGTAAGACTACACTAACTCTTACATTTAGGAACATAGATGTAGATATACATACATGCATGTAAAAATTAATGAAAAAAGAACCCACCCATGAATTTCAAAGAGAGCAAGGAGGAGGGTATAGGAGGGTTTGGAGTGTTTTGGAGGAAAGAAAAGGAAGGAGGAAATAATGTAATTATATTATAATCTCAAAAATAAAATTTTATACAAAAACAAACTGTAACTCCTCTTTAAGGAGTAATTCATAGTGTGCTTCATTATGTTTCTTAAAGACTAGTAAATTAGGAGCAATAAAGCAGAAAAGGAAGAGCTTAATAAAGCTAGATACAAGATTATAAATGCAAATACCCAAGACCTAAGATCAAAGATAGAACAAATGAAGTATCTGCAAATTCAGATGAAACTTAACATTCTTTTCTACCCTTTATATACATTCATAGCAAATAACAATCGTTTCCTACTTAATATGAACAGAAATTCACACTGTAAGTAAAGCCTCCCTCAAAAGATTTCAGACACTATGTTAAAGATAGTCTGAGTTACACAGAACATTGATTTAATACACATCATTTCATCCTTTTCCTAATACATATACAACTGAAATTTTAATAAAAACATTGAGTAAGACATTTTCTGTATTTATGCTTTAGAAATGTTATATTCTTTATTACATTATTCTATATTATCTTAATATAAGGAGTCTTTAAAATTTTTCATGGTGACACATACACCTTTAATCCCAGCACTCAGGATGCAGAGGAAGGCAGATCCTTGTGAGTTCAAGGCCAGTTTGGTCTACACAGCAAGAGTTCCAGACCGCCAAGGCTACCCAGAGAAACCCTGTCTCGAAAAGCCACACACACAAAATTCCTGACAGAGAGGCACATGCCTGAAATCTCAGCAATTGTGAGGCTGAGAAAGGAGGCTCACAAATTCAAGACCAACATGGGATACACAGGGAGACCCTGCTCCTGTCTTTTGCCCTATAAATAATTTACATTTAATTATGTATTTTTCTACTTTTACTCTTTTCTCCATGTTATTGCAAATTCTTTAATTTTAATCTTTAACAATGAGCTCATAAGGTAATGAGTCTAGAACTGATATTTAGTTCCCACTAATACTTACAGCAAATCATGCTGTAATGAGAATTTTTTATAGATTAAACTCTTCTGTGTTTCAGATTATTTCCTTGGCAATATCAATGAATACAAAGTTGTTTAAATTTTTCAAATTGCCATCTAACTGAATTCTAATAGTTATAATATTATACAGTTCTGTTGGAGCCCACAAGACTACAGTGAATGCACAGCTGACCGACCAATAGGCAGATCCACAGGAAGCGTATACGTACACATGGAATAATCCATTTTGCAGAGCTGAGGGAACACTTGTCTTTTGAAAAAGTCACTGTTGTTTCTGTAAAAACTTTGTGAAGCCATGATTCTCCCTTCAAAATGGGATTCATTCCCAAAACACCTCATCACTGTGACTTCTGCATGGCAAGGGAGTGACCTTGCTCCATTCCCCCACACGAAGAGGTCTTGGAGCAACAGCATTCACCCTTTGTTCTAACAGTCAAATTTACATAGAGTCAATCGCACAAAATTACCTAACAGACCACATAGAAATGTGTAAAGTCAGGCACTTATAGCACGATGGGCTGGCTTGTTGGGGTTTTTCTGTCCTGCCCAGTTCCCACAGCTGTTTAGCCCCAAAGAAAATCACACAGAGATCTCTGTAAGTTAGAAAGCTGACGGGCCCATTAGGTCAGGCTACTTATTAGTCCTTGTAACTTATATTAACCCATTATTCTGATCTATTTTGGCTATATGGCTCAGTACCTTTTTAGCTTTGGTGGTCTGGGCAGGAGTCAGAGGAATCAACTTCCTCCTTCCCAGAATTCTCCTGTTCTCATTGCATCATTTCTACTTCCTGTCTGGTTTTCCTGCCTATACTTCCTGCCTGGCCAATCAGCGTTTATTTAAAATGATTGACAGATTACAGACAATTCTCCTGCATCACTGAGCAGGAAGGCAGCATGCCCCACCTTTACTAACAAATAAATTTGGGCGTCCCCAAAGCTGGTTATCACCAAAGAGATTTGATGAGGAGAATGGGTGAATCCAGGATTCAGGGAAGTTTAGTAACTTTATCTAATGGTTTGGGATGTCAGGTGCTTCCCCTTGGATGCTGGCTCTTTCCTGGTCGGCTCACATGTTCTGGAGCACAGCTTTGCCAGGTTCTACCTGCCCTCTCTGTGATTTTGATATGCATATTATCATTGTCCTTGCCTATTTTTCAAATATGTCTGTAAAACTACAAACCTCGTGGAGATCAGCCCTTATTCTATTTCTTCTCCTTATTCTTTTTTTGTTCTCTTCACTACTTCTTCTACTTCTTCCTCTCACTCTCCTTCTTCCTCCTTCTCCCTATTCTTTTCTCCACACCCTTTCATTTCACTTTTCCTCCTCACAAGAAAAATAAAGAACATGCAGAGGTAATGTATTAGTTAATTCTTTACCCTCAAATGCAGACATCCAATTCTGAGCCCTGAGAGGTACTGAGGCTTGCACTCAAGACTCCCAATACAGTTTCCCACTAAATTTTAAGTTAATTTGATTATACCTCAGCTAGTAAACCAGTCTTTTTCTAATATTTATTTTGTACTTTACTTAAATTACTAAAAGTCTCAACATTTTCCTTAAAGGTATTAACTAGCTATATTCCTTCACTAAATTACACATCAGATGTCTTAGTTTTCCTTCTTTAAAAAAAAAGAAGTGGGTAATTTTTAAACAAAATTAATGTTTAAATTAGTTGTCAGTTACTTCTAACAATTATATTTTCTAAGACAATTTGCTTTCAAATTTTGAGTCCTATAGCTTGAGAAAAGGCTCAAGGATTAAAAGCATGTACTGTTCTTGTAAAGGGCCCCAGTTCAGTTCTTAGCACCCACATGGTGGCTCCAGTTCTAAAGGATCCTATGCCCGCTCTGACCCCTGCAAGCACTGTGCATACATGGTGCACATGCATACATGCAGGCAAAGATTTATCAGATATAAATAAATCTTCTTTTAAAAAAGGTTGAGTTCTTGGTAAAATCTGTTCTTTTTTTTTTTTAATTCATCTAAGTTTTATTTATGTGTGGGTATCCAAGAAGGGCAGAAGAGGCCACTGGATCCCTTAAAGCTGAAGTTACAGGCAGGTCTGTGACTCGCGACATAAGTGCTAGAACCGAACTTTGGTTCTCTGGAAGAACAATTCATTCTTTAACTGCTAAGACATCTCTCCACCTCCTCATCATTTCTTTTATACTGATATAGAACTGACTTTAAACCTGGGGTAGAGAAGTATCTACCTAACAGAGAAGAAAATTCTTCATTTTATTCTTTATTTTCCTTTCATTTTCCATGGCTTTTAAATTTCTAATCTATCTAGATGGGATAGAAGGATCCAAACTGACTCTAAAATTTGGTTGTTTAACCAAATCTTTTTACTTAGCATCATTATATGTATTAAATTCTTATGTAAATGCAGTCTGTACACAGGTTAATAATTCTGTCATTTGATTATAACTAGTTTTTATCAGCCTTGGGTCTTCATGCTTGTGCAATATGCACTCTTACTAAATGATCCATCTACCTAGCCCCACACTATGACCTTTGAATGTTTTAGTATCTAAAAATGCCAGTACCTCTTCAATTATTAATCTTTTTCAGAACTGTCTCTAGCATCTCTACTGGAAATAACACATACACTGGTGATACTCAAACTTTCCCAGCCGAGAACATCACTACGTCTCTGCACAGTCACAGCTCACCGCCCAAGTCCTGAGTGCAGGTGTGTCCCCGCACACTTCATCTGTGCAGCACTGAGCAGTGAACAGCTCCCACAGGGCTCTGTGCATCCCAGGCAAACACGACCTTTGGTGGTACTCCCAGCCCCATTTCTTTGTTCCTTTGCTCAAATCTTTCCCATTGACTACAACTTTTTCATATTCTACTTCATATATTTGCCATTTCTAAGAAAATTTTCTTTTGAAATAGGGTTTAATGTGTAGCCTAGTCTGAACTAAACTAACAATCCCCTTGCCATAGCCTCATAAGCAGCAATTACTGGACGTGGCACCATGCTTAGGAAAGGCACCCAGTTTAGAAGACTGCCTTTTAATAAGCCTCATTTTTGATTCTGTGAACACAAACCTGTATCCGTCTCCATATTTCTCGCTGTTTTTCTCTCGTCTACGTCTTTGCTTCTCCCGCCGTGCCTCAACTCGCCGCTTTTCTTCTTCTTCATTTTTAGGGTCAGTTTTTGCTAAGATAACAGGGGAAAAAACTTTATTTTAATATATTGTGATTCATTTCTATGTGATCACTTGCTACATATTTTTGTTTAAATATGCTCATATTTTGCTTATCCTTACCAAAATGGATGGTATCTATAGAGCCTAAAACTCATGAATACCTCACACACTTTAAGAAACACTGAAACAGGGGCTGGAGAGATGGTTCAGTGGTTAAGAGCACCACTTCCTTATCTAAAGGTCCTGAGTTCAATTCCCAGCAACCACATGGTGGGTTACAACCATCTATAATGAGATCTGGTGTCTTCTTCTGGCCTGGAGGCATGCATGTAGACAGAATACTGTATACACAATAAATAAATAAGTCTTTTTTTAAAAAAAAAAAACCACTGAAGGAGCCTGACCCAGGCCTGGATGGAGGGGAAAAAAACTCTCATTTATATTGTGAGGGTGGTCCTAAACCTTTTTAAAATATGTATCTATAGAATTCCAAAATAAAAACAACTTTCTCTTTTATTTATTCTACGACAATAGACAAAACATACAACTTCCCGCTCAAACTATGTTGAAGCACTGGATTCAGGAGTGTGAACAGTGCTGCCATATCATGTCAGCACCAGCATCGCCGAGCTCCTGAACACGCTTACACTCCAGACAGTAACTGCAGCCACTCAATAGTCCCTCCCACTTCAGTCCAGCTCTAAGACATCAGTAATCTCCCATTTACTCTCTGCACTCTGATATTTTATTTCAAATAGAATCAATTACCCTCTTTTTGATCTTGCTTTTATTTAGTATGTTTTCAAACATTAGTTATATTAGTTATACCATGTATCAGTACTCCACTCTCACATTTAATACTCCACTGACTGAATATATACTCACTGAAGAAACACTAATATGTTATACCACTTAGTACATCCACTTATACTGTGTAATGGTACCTATTTTTATACATCGTTGCCAACGCTTGTTATTTTCTTTCCCACCCCCTCCCATTATAACATCTAGTGGGTATGAACCGGTATGACTAGTATCTTATTTCTTGTGCCTGCAGAAATGGCCCTGTGTTTAAGAGTACATATTGCTCTTGTAGAAGACCGAAGTTCAATTCTCAGCAGCCGTGTCCAGCAGTTGATAACTGCCTGTAACTACAGCTCCAGAGAATCTGATGCCTTCTGGCCTCTTTAGACACCTGCGCTCATGTGCATACACTCACACATAGTCATACAAACATGAGAGAGGTGGAGAGGGAGGGTGTGGAATAGAGGTGAGGGGAGAATCTTACGGGGCTAGGGATAGGCTCAGCTAGTTGAATGCCTCCCGAGTATTCATGAAGCCCTAAATTCAATCCCCAGAACCACATAAATCCATGTTGTGGCACATGCTTGTAACACTCATGAGATTGAGGCACGGAGATCAGAAGTTCAGGGTCATACTTAGCTACATAGCAAGTTTGAAGTCAGTCTAGGTTACATGAAACTCCAACTCAAAAAAAAAGAATCATCTGTTATGAATTCTCTGTTCAGTTCAGTACCCCATTTTTTAATTGGGTTAATTAGAGTTTTAGTGTCTAGTTTCTTGAGTTCTTTGTATATTTTGGAGATCAGACCTTTGTCTGATGAGGGGTTGGTGAAGATCTTCTCCCAGTCAGAAGGCAGCCTTTTTGTCTTACTGACAGTGTCCTTTGCTTTACAGAAGCTTCTCAGTTTCAGTAGGTCCCACTTATTCATTGTTTCTCTTATTGTCTGTGCTACTGGGGTTCTGCTTAGGAAGTGGCCTCCTGTGCCTATATCTTGTAGACTACTTCCCACTTTCTCTTCTATCAGGTTCAAAGTGGACGGATTAATGTTGATGTCTTTAATCCATTTGGACCTGAGTTTTGTGCATGGTGATAGATATGGATCAACTTTCATTCTTCTACAGGTTGACATCCAGTTATGCCAGCACCATTTGTTAAAGATGCTTTCCTTCTTCCATTGTATACCTTTAGTTCCCTTGTCAAAAATTAGGTATTCATAGGTTTGTGGGTTAATATCTGGGTCTTCTATTCGATTCCATAGGTCGACTTCTCTGTTCTTATGCCAATACCAAGCTGTTTTCAATACTGTAGCTCTGTAATAGAGTTTGAAGTCAGGGATGGTAATGCCTCCTGAAGTTCCTTTATTGTATAAGATTGTTTTGGCTATCTTGGGTTTTTTGTTTTGCCATATAAACTTGATTATTGTTCTCTCAAGGTCTGTGAAGAAGTTTGATGGGATTTTGATGGGGATTGCATTGAATCTATAGATTGCTTTTGGTAGAATTGCCATTTTTACTATGTTGATTCTCCCAATCCAAGAGCACGGGAGGTCTTTCCATTTTCTGGTATCCTCCTCAATTTCTTTCTTCAAAGACTTAAAGTTCTTGTCAAATAGGTCTTTCACTTCCTTGGTTAGAGTAACCCCAAGATATTTTATGCTATTTGTGGCTATCGTGAAAGGTGATGTTTCTCTGATTTCCCTCTCTGCTTCTTTATCCTTTGTGTATAGAAGGGCAACTGATTTTTTGGAGTTGATCTTGTACCCTGTCACATTACTAAAGGTGTTTATCAGCTGTAGGAGTTCTTTGGTAGAGTTTTTGGGGTCGCTTATGTACACTATCATATCATCTGCAAATAATGAGAGTTTAACTTCTTCCTTTCCAATTCAAATCCCCTTGATCCCCTTATGTTGTCTTATTGCTATTGCTAGAACTTCAAGCACTATATTGAAGAGGTATGGAGAGAGTGGACAGCCTTGTCGTGTTCCTGATTTTAGTGGAGAGGCTTTGAGTTTCTCTCCATTCAATTTGATGTTAGCTGTCGGCTTGCTGTATATTGCTTTTATTATATTTAGGTATAATCCTTGTATCCCCAGTCTCTCCAACACCTTTATCATAAATGGGTGTTAAATTTTGTCAAATGCTTTTTCAGCATCCAGTGAAATGATCATATGGTTTTTTCTTCCAGTTTATTTATATGATGGATTACATTGATAGATTTGCGTATGTTGAACCAGCCCTGCATCTCTGAGATGAAGCCTACTTGATCATAATGGATAACTTTTCTAATGTGTTCTTGGATTCGGTTTGCCAGTATTTTATTGAGAATTTTCGCGTCAATGTTCATGAGTGAGATTGGCCTGTAATTCTCCTGGGTCTGGAGAGATGGCTCAAAGGTTAAGAGCACTGGCTGCTCTTCCAGAGGTCCTGAGTTCAATTCCTAGCAATCACATGGCGGCTCACTACCATCTGTAATGGGATCTGGTGCCCTCTTCTGGCCTGCAGGGATACATGTAGACACAAAACAGTGTAGAGTGGGCAGGAAGAAGATATCCAGAGACCCAGCCCAGTGTGTGGCACAGTGTGTAACTATGGGATGGAGAAAAGAGAGAAAGAAGTGCTGTGGAATAATCCTTTTGTACAGTGTGAAGATTGTTACTCAGGCTGGTTTAATAAAAAGCTTACTGGCTGGTAGTCAGACCGAAGTATAGGAAGGACAACCAAACCAAGGACACTGGGAGGAAAGAGGGCAGAGTCAAAGGAGTCGAGAGATACACAGAAAGAAGCAAGATGAACGTCCTGTGTTGAAAGAAGGTACTGCCACACAGCAGAGCGTTAAGAATTATGGCTTAATTTTAAATGTAAGAGTTAGCTAGTAACAAGCCAGTTATTGGCCAAGAATTTACAAGTAATACTAACTTTTAGTGTCAGTTATTTGGAAACTGATAAGCAGGAAAGAAAAGTTCGTCTACAGAGAAGCACAACAGTTTGAGCACCAACTATGAAGAGAAGCGACCTGGAGACGCGAGGCTGGAGAGGAGAGCGTGAAGAAAATGAATACACCACGAAGTCACCTGGGGATACGGTAAGTCCCAGTCTAAGCTGATGCTGAGGGCCACGTCTGGGTCCATGGCCGTGTGGCAAGCAGGGACCACATCACCACCAAAAGTCATGTGGATATCCGTGGTCTGGACTGCTCCTCGGGACTATGTTGATATTCAAGAGCTGCACAGAGCTGGCCCCACCCCTCAATGACTGCAGCACTAGGGAGAGTTGCTCCTACTCTGCCAGCTGCAGCACTCTGGAGAGTGGACCCTGCACTTCGTCCGAGCAGCACTGTAGAGCTGACTCTGATAGTGTGGATGCAGGGGAGCTGGCAAACTAACCAACTCAGCTACAACCCAGGTCCAATCCAGAACTATGAGTTAACCTACCCCAGCATCCACCCCATCTATGAACTGCTAGAGCATGAGAAGTGGCTGATCCTGCAGATCCAAAGCTGTAGAATTTCCATGACACAGGGCAACAGGATAGCCAAGAGGAGTTCTAGTAAAGATCTAGTATTGATAGTGTAGCAGAAGCCAGAGGCCTTGAACCAGATTAATAACTCATTGCAATGAGTATTTGCAAATAAAAATATATGGATTAAAGAGTATACTGTGTGACTGACTGTGACACATTACAACTTCTGTGACAAGATTTTTCTTTCGTGCTTGTCTTTTCGAGGGGTTGCAAGAGCAGATATAAAGGGGCGGGAGATGAGTGGGTTGGGTACATAATGTGAAATCCACAAAAAATCCTAAGACGTTTAAAAAAAAGATCGACACAGCAAGAAACTCACAATTGTCTTCTGCCATCTGCATATGCACACGTAGATATGCATAAGACACGTTCATATACATCACACACACACACATAAAGGGGTGGGCTGGGGAGATATAGCTTAATGGGTAAAATGTTTGCCAAACAAACATAAAGACCCAAGTTTAGAACCCTAACACCCACTTAAAAAGTTGGACAGAAAAAAAAAAAAGTTGGACAGGGTGACAGACACCTGTCATCTGAGCACTGGAGAGGCAGACAGAGGAGGAGCTTACTGGCCAACAATTAAACGAAAATTGGTACATTCCATGTTCACTGAAAATAAATAAACAACTGAGGAAGGTGCCTAATGCTCCTTTGGTCTCCGTGTACATGAACACATGTACAACTCGTCTTCTCCCACTGCACACACACAAACATGTAACGGCTGTGTTTATCCTCCCAGCCCCTGGGAAGTCGCAGCAGGAGCATGCAGAGCTCATGTTCATCCTCCACTACAAAGCAAGTTGAAAGCCAGTATGGAAAGCACATATTCAAAAATAATCTAATATAAATAATAAATGGGAAAATGATATGAAGCAAATCTGTTATCATCATAACCCTAGGCACAGAAGCAGCTTTAGAAGAAATCCTGTCTCTGCTACTCACTGGTTGTCTGACCTGGGAATCCTATCACTCATCTGTCTGTTTTGTTAGTTGTAGAGTCTGACACACATAACTACCCCTATCAACGTGGTTTAAAAACTATACTAAGTATAGTGCGTGTATGCTCTTTAGCACAGTGCCCGTGTGCAAGAAGCATTCAGTAAACACTAGTTCATGATTAACACCTAACAATCTGGAGCTGGAGAGATAGGTAAGCAGTTGGGTTCAACTCCTAGTATCCACATGGCAGGTCACAACCATCCCTAACTCCACTTCCACGGGAACCAGGTATGCACACGGTACACAGACATGCATGCGAGAAAAACACCTGCACACATAAAATAAAAATAAATGGGGCTGGAGAGATGGCACAGCAGTTAAGATCCCTGGCTGCTCTTCCAGAGGTGCTGAGTTCAATTCCCAGCAATTGCATAGTGGCTCACAATCACCTGCAGTAGGATCTACTGCCCTCTTCTGGTGTGCAGTTATATATGCAGAGAACTCATACATTTATGTGTGTGTGTGTGTGTATTATATATATATAATCTAAAATAAATAAGTCTGAAAAAGGCACCCAGAAAAAGAAAAAAACAATTTAAAAAACATTTTTATCAAATTGCATATAGTTACTAATCCTTAATTTAAATGGAGATAAAATGTTGAAAAACAAACACACTGTCAGTTAAATTAAAACCCACTTAGCTGGAAACTATTCTAGACTTTAGTGGGAAGAATTCTTACTATCATCACTTTTCTTCAAAGCAATTCCTTCAACGAGATTTTTTGTTGCAATACAAACAATTTTTCTAGCTGAACTTAAGAAAACTATAAACTTTAACCAAAACAACTTTAAAAATAGTCATTCGTTGTAATTATGGTATCACTTAAACAACAGGGTTTTCTGGAAAAGACAGATAATTTGTTGTGCAAACAATAAAATATACATAAACAAACCTAGCTGATACAGTCTACAACACACCTAAGAGTCACTGTATATACTATTGTATATGCAATCCATTACTGGACAAAATGTTCAGCACATAACTATATATACTTTTGTGTGAACTGCTAGCTTTTTCTGGGTATATAGCTAGGAGACATATAATTCAGTTTAATCAGCTGAGGAATGCATGCCCTGTTCATAATTTTACAAAAGTGTAGAAATTTCTCCACAACTACCAGGCACATTGGCAAATGTCTGTAATTCCAGTCATCAGGACCTACTGTGGGAGGACTGGTGAGTTGGTGTTTGTGCTGCCAAAGCTTGAGCACTGTGGTAGTTTGAATATAACTGGCCCCATGACCTCATAGG